CTCCTCCAGGTCCTCGTCGTACTTCTTCTCGATTTTGGACTGCACCTCGCGGCTCATGCCGTAGGAAGGACCTTTGTTGGCCATGCTGGAGAGAGCTAGATACGGAGAGGGCAGAGGCCAGAGCGTCAGGAAGCAGCTCTGCAAGCTGTGCTCAGCCACAGCACGGCCGCCTCAGGGACCGTCTGCCCAGCCTGTTTCCTCGTGTGTGCAACAGACCACCTGAGGGCACGCTTCTCCGAGCCTGGAGGATGTGGGCTCACCAACCCCACCACCTTTGTACCAGCAGAGTGGTGCCAGAGAGTCAAAAAGGCACCACCGGCTCAGTTTCCACTGCTCGAGGGGCAGGAGGATACCAGCTCTTTGGAGGGCGAGGGCAGGGAGCAGCAAGGAGTAAATGCTGTGGGCCTTTCCATCCACGCGGTCTCTGTGAGTGTCCTGTGAAACCAGCCGTGGACAGTGCATGGACATAGAAAGGTGGCTCAGTTCACTTAGAACGTTATGGACAAAACCCAGTGACAGGCTGGCCATAGCTTGCCAGTTCCTGGGCTAGCGCTCCCCCCAGCCCCCAGCCAAGACTGGACGGAGACGAAGGCACAGATGCAGCCTTCCTGGCAGCCAGCGTTGTTCTGCCAAATACAAGCAGCAGACAGCTCTCTTTGTCCAGCTGGGCGAGAGCTGCAACCTACTACCTCTGCCTCGACCACAGAAGTGCTCCCCAGTCGGACTTCAACTGTACCCTCCGGCCCAGTGTCTGCCTGCCAGCCCAGCCTCTGGGCTGGAGGAGTTCACACTCGCCACCCCTGGCAAGTTCGAGGAAACCACCAACATCCCAGAGCTCCTGGCAAAGAAGCTGTGTTCCCGAAGAGAAGCTGGGAATGCCTGCCAACTTCCACTCCCACCCTTGGGCTCTCAATACTATAGTAGCCTGAATCACTCAGGAGCCAGCGTCCTCCGGGGACAGGCCAGAGCCAAGAATCCCTCAGCTAGGGCTGGGGAGCCGCGCACCCCCCCACACCCCACCCCTGTCCAGACCGGCAGCACCTGCCTCCCTGAGGGCTCCGAGAAAGGAGGGTGACGGCGGCTGGAGCCAGGCCGCCCGCCCAGCACACGTGGGTGGTGTTCCTCTTGCTCAGTGTTTGTCTGAAAAGACCTCCCGAAGAGGCCCCAAATGAGAAGGGCTGGGAAGGGAGAATGGCCAAGGAGGGAGAAGATGGGGGAGGGCCGGCGTTGCCGTGGCCCCGCCTCCCTGTCTTCGGGGCGGAGGCCTCTGCAGCAACCCCACTCACATAGCATCCCCGGGGCAGCTGCCAAATCCCACGGCCCCGCCCCACCCTTTTCCTATGACGATCAACTGTTTGCATCCGTGAAGTGGGCTAAGAGTTCCTGTCTCCGAGAACTGTGGTCAGTGTGCCGTGGAACCAAAACCTCAATTGCCCTCCTTGACTCAGCGACCTTATCGGACCGGGTTTCCCAGGCCTGTAAATCTGAACAACAGTACATCACCTTGGCTTCCTCCCAACAGCTGACTGTGGTTAGGGGCCCAACACCGGGACCACCGGGCACCAGGGCTCCTCTGTGGTGGCGCAGAGTCCCTCGGAGCATTAGTCCTTCGTCCCCCCAACTCCTCCTCTCCCCACCCGTCTCCCCTCAACCCACTTTCCAAATCATCCCGAGTGCATCACAGTTGGGCGGAAGGACAGGTCACTTCTCCCTGAGCCTGTGGGATCGCCACCTCCCTGTCGGCAGGTGGTGCGAGAGGGTCCAAAAGGTACCGCGCTCTGCTCTTGAAGTTCACCTCCCTCCAAACCACCAAAAACTCCAACCAAACTCACTGTCACCGAGTCAAGTCAGCTAGGGCATTAGCCAGTGTTCGTCCTAGCCCTCAACCCCACCCCCACCCCAGGCTGGACAACGGCCTCCTTGTGGCACATGCACCCATCAATCACCTCCTACTGGCTGTAGCCCCCACCTCCTCTCCAGACCAGGTGTGGCAAGTGGAAACAGCCTGGTGGCAAATGTGTCTCGGGGGATTCTGAGCAGCGGGCAGAGTCCAAGGTGTCACGGTTCTCAGCGGCTGGGACACGGCGTGGCAAAGTCCCCTGGACCAGCGGGGACTTGGACTTGGAGCAGGGCGAGAAGGGACAACACACACTACCAGCCGCCACCATTCTTGGCGAAGGGGCTGCAAGTGGGGAGTCCTAAGAAAGCCCGGAAGGTCCTCGAAGTCCAGCCCTGCCCCACCTTTGAGCTATTGGGGAGAGGGGCTGGCTTCAGGGCAGCCCACAGGGGCCACCACAGGACAGGGTCCCTAGGAGGGAAGGCCGGGTGGGAGAGAAAGAACAGTCCGGCTGCCACCGCCTCCTGGAAGCCCGGAAAAACAAGTAGAACCAGAGCATATCCCCTCCCGCTCCATGCGCACAGCCAGAGGAGCGAGCCCCCTGCATCTGCAGTGGCCTGGGGCAAAGAGGACGTGCCCTACCACACAGGTGTGTGCACTACCACACAGGTGTGTGCCCCACTTCCCCGCCTCATTTGCCGGTGGTTAAGCGCTGGCTGGTAAATGCCAGGTGGGTGTCCAGCGCACCACAACCGCCCTCCCTCCCCAGCAGACAGGTGTGGCAGCCGGCTCAGGAAAGATCGCACAGCAGGGAAACCCTACCGGAGCAGTCACTGCAAGCGGGCTGTCAGGTGTGTGTTGTTTTAAACCACTGAGGAGATTCGCCGGATCACTTGGAAAGGGCTAGGCACCTGGGCGGCCAGGGCCGTGAGCAGCCATCGCGCCAAAGCCCCTTCCGGCTAGTATTCCACAATCATGGTGGCAACCTTCCACCCTCGGACCACAGAAGGCACCATGTCCCCCGTCCCGGCACCCACCACCACTGCTTGTTTCCAAGTACAAGACTTGTGGGGTCTCCTCCCATGGCCCTGAGACACAGCTCTCCAGCGCTGATGGACCCACACACTACTCAGGCACCCTCCTGGCTGCACCCAGAAACAGGCCCTATGCTATGGGTGTGACCATGGCTAGAGATGAGAGCCCCCTCTCTCCAGTCCCCAAGCTCAAATGACCCTCAGCACCATCTAAATCCTGTCACCTTAAGGCCATCCCGCACCAAACTTGACCCACCTCCCTAAAGTGGAGGGAGCAAACACCCCCATAATACCTGCTGAGAAGGGTGGGAGCATCCCCTGCAGGGGCCTCCCAGAGCCTGGCAGCAACCCTCCGCGGGGCGTCAAGCCCCAGCCCACCTACCCTGGCCCCACCACTGCACTTACGGGCTCCTAGAGGAACTCAGTCCGTGGGTTGGTCTCAGTGTCTGGGGCTTGGACAGACAGGCCAGGGCGTTGGCTGGGTGATGGGTTTAAAGGGCTGCTACCCTGGTGATGTCAGTCTCCCCCCACAGCCCCCTCCCTGCTAGAGGAAACTGGCTCCCTTCCCCACGCCCCGCTGCACCCCACACACACACCACCCCCCTTGACTCCACACAGACAGGCTCCATATTTGGGGAAAGACTCCCAGTTGGAGCAGTCTGCCCTGGGGGCTGCGGAGACATTCTCTGCGTGCTTGAGAGATGGAGCCTGCGAGGCGGGGGCGGGGAGCTGGCCGGGAAAAGCCTTTTATGGACAGGAGCTTCAAGGCTCGGCTTACTGAGCTCAGGGCTGCTCCTTCCTCAGTGTTCTTGGGAGAGGGAAATTCAAGCAGCCTTGGCCTGAGCAAGGAAAGGCTGCTGGGGGTGGGGGTATGGCTCCTAAGGTTTAGGAGGAACATGGGGAAAGGCGGATGGTGTGTGGTCGGAGGTGGCAAGTAACCTTTCCTGGGAACTCACTCCCTGCCAGGCACCTGTGTGAACTCTCCCGTGAAGGTCACGGGGACACGGAGACTGTGAGGACTAGGCCCATTTACAGGGACAAAACCCAGGCTGAACGGGTCATGCCTAAGGCTACCCAGTGAGGCAGGGGTGGCAGAGCCTGGGGATCCCCAGCTGCGTGGAGGCTAGATTGCCAGGCCCAATGTTTCGGGGACACCAGTCTGCTTGGGTTCTGTGGGGCTCCCAGCTGGGAGGGGCTTGAGTTCGGAGTGGGGAGATGAGCCGGGAAGGTCCAGTGGGCAGATGGCCATCTGGGAAGTGACCCTCTTCATGGTCTAACAGGGCCTGAGGCTCCATCACTACAGTGGGAAGTTCAGGGATAGGGTTGGATGGTCTCTCCCTCCTTCTAGGTCCTAGCGGTTCTCAACCTGTGGGGTCGCAACCCCTTTGGGGGGTTGAGCAACCCTTTCATATGGGTCACCCAATTCACAACAGTAGCAAAATTAGAGTTATGAAGTAGCAACGAAAATAATTTTATGGTTGAGGGGGTCACCACATGAACACTGCAAAGGGCCGCCGCATTAGGAAGGTGGGGAACCACTGCTTCTATGACCAATAATCTTAAGCCTATGCAATCCTAGAAAACACACGGGTCCCCATCGATCCAGGAGAGGCCGACTCCTCCGGATAGCTTGTGTCAGGATTCAGGTGTCCCCGCCCTACCACCACCTGGTAGCACACACGCCCCACGCCCCCCACCCCCAGCAGCCAGCCAGCCTCCAGCTTTACAAACGCAGCGACACATGGAGCTATACTGCCTCCCAGTGGCGCCTGAAGGGGAGAGCAGGGAGGGAAGCTCGGAAGCTAAACCCCCTGACACTCTGTAGTCCAGATCCCATTCCCGGACCTCACAGACCCGAGGTCAGTGGCAGTCTGGCAGCTGGGCAGAGGACTGGGGGGAGGCCATTTTAATTTCCCAAGCAAATGCCTGGGCCAAGTTTTTCAGTGTAAAGCACAGGGCAGGTGGAGGTTAGAGATGACAGAATCCTTGTCCTGGCTGGGGAGGTGGGGGGGACGGCAGTGGGGGGACGGCAGGGCTGCAGGGAGTCTGGTTTGAACAAGCGGATGGGAGACCAGCTGGGGCGGGGAAGGAAGGACCCCATCAACATTCTCCCCGTCTCCCCTCCACACCCAGGGACAGCCCGAGCCTGTGTCTGGTTGTTTCTTTAATGGAATGCGGCCTCATTCACAGAAAACAGGAATGCAACCGCAGCACGGGGTGGACGTCACCTGGAGTTCTAACACAGAGCCGGCCCCAGGGAGACCCAGGAGAACAAGTGTGGGTGAGCAGAACACAGTCGAGACAGAGGGCCGAGCTGCACCTCCACCACCCTTGGCATCTGGAATGTTCCAGTGGGGGGTTAAGGGCAACCCACGCCCCGAGCTGGAAACACGGTGTAAACGCAAGGTTGTGTGGGGACGTGTGTGCTGAAGACTGGACGGACGGACACTGGGAAGCCCGCCCTGGTCCAGAGGAAGGCTGAGTCTGGAGCAGCATCTCCCTTCCTTGCCTGCCGACAGGGACAGGCGTGGGGCTTCCTAACTCGCATCCAAATGGGTAGGGGTCTTGGGACCCTCCCTCCCTTTCACTCAGGGGGACATTCCTGAGTGGTGTCAATGGCACTGAGAGGCCCCAGCTGGGGCTTGGCAGGACTAGGGTCTGGGAGGGCAGAACGGACGACAGGGAAGGCCAGGTACTCTTCCCTCCAATTGTGGTGCCAGCATCAGTCCCGGGCGGGGTGGGGTGGGGGGTGTGGAGAGCGCACGACAGGACAGGTAGGGGAGGGGGCCTCTGCAATGCAGGCTGGACCTCACTGCTTAAGAGTCAGTTGCCCCAGCCTCTTGCAGGCCTTAGCACCAAAAGCGCCTGGCACCAGCTGGCCAGCTCCCACCCCACCCCCGACGTCACCATCCATCCTGGCTAACTAGAGGGCAGTGATGGCAGCCAGGTACAAGCCCCCTGAGAACAGGGGTCCTGGTGGGAGACAGCACCAGGCCTCTGGAGTAGGAGCCTGGGTGGGTAGAGGGCTTAGGAGCCGCCCAGGCTGCAGAGGAGGGGAGGGATGGGTAGGACACAAGTCACGATGGAGGAGGCAGCAAGGCCGTCCCTTCCTCCTCATGAAGAGGGACCAGGGAGGAGCCAGGAGTGCCACGGGCAGAAGGCCCAACACTGAGATAGAAGCAGCAATGTGGTCACTGCAGGGGCTTCAGGGGAGCAAGCTTCCCCTCAGCAGTGGGCAGGGCTCAGGCACCCCACAGCTGTCCTGAGCCAGGCTTGGCCCAGGTCACACAGTCCTGCCCCCATGCAGCAAGGCTGGGGCTTGGAGCCCCAGCTGTCCCGAGGCCAGCGCGGCGGCAATGGCGGCTGCGGGTGCACAGCTCGTGCTAGAAGACGTAGATCTTGTCCCGTTGCACGGTGTCCAGGTCGTCATCCAGCGTCAGCAACACCTGGGGGGAGGGCATGGGGTCAGGCGTAGGAGAGGGGGCACCTCCCTGCAGGGCAGCCACAACACTCTCGTACCAGGAAAGACCCGAACATGGCGATGGAGGAGAGGAAGTGCCAGATGTCGTGGTCATCGAAGAAGTCCAGAAGGATGCAGTCTCGGTTGTGCTCCCGTGACTCTGCGGGGGTTTTCTGGGGGCAGTGGAGGGAGGGGCTCCCTGTCGAGCTCTGTCCCAGACTCCCCCCCACCCACAGGAGACGGCCTTCCCCCTGGAAAGTACGCTCCTGCACACAGGAGACGGCCTTCCCACAGAGCCGGCTCCGAGGATGGACGCTGGAGCCTGTCCTCTCTCCTATTCCCCCCTTCAGAGACTCCTGGGCTTGATCAGAGCAGAGGGAGGTGACACCTCTGGACAGCTCGGGGACACATGAGGGCCCCTCAAGCTCCCCACGGCACCCCCCTGCCCCTAGCCTCCCTGCTCCCCCAGAGCTCCCCTGGGTCTCTTTTGTTTGCCCCTCCAAAGCACCACAGCCAAGACTCAAGAACACTGGCTGTTATGACCCATCGGCTGCAGAGTATGGCCCCGTCATAACTGTTATCTAACATACGATGCCCGCCTGCTGTGCCCGGGGGCTTCTGTGCCACACGCTGGCAACCATCTCCACCGAGAGCCACGGCCTGGCTTCCTTTAGGCCGCTCAGCATCCTCGCCCGGCTCCCTGGTGCGTGCACTGAGGCTGCCTCTTCTGTTCCTGCCTCTGGACTGTGAGCCAAGTCACAGGGGCTCCAGGCCACAGGGCCCTTGTCTGCCACCACCACTTTATAGCCAAGAGCATGACCACACCTCCTCTAGGAGGCCTTCTTGGACCCCCCCAACTCCAGAGGGTCTCCATCCTCGGACCTCCTGCGCATCTCTCCGAGCCACCTTGCCGGGTCCCCTCACTGCACCTGGCACACTGCAGACAACCAACGAGACCAACAGTCTCTCGTGGGCTGGGCTGGGCTTGCAGGGTCTGTCCGTCAGACTTCATTCTGATCTCGGACCTCAAGCATAACATGACAGGAAGGGAGGCTCTCTTTTCCAAGGGGGGCGGGCCGCACCTCATGAGCTCGGACGCCTCTGTGACAGACTCCCTCAGGAAAACACAGAGCTGGATCCCTTACTTGTTGGCTCCGCCCTGCTTCTACCTGCAGGAGGATGGCTCACCTGCCAGGTGCTGAGTCCCTGGAAGAAGAAGAAGAGCGCGAAGCCCCAGACCACAGAGGTGCCGGCGATGCACAGCAGGGGGATGAGCTTGATCCTCTCCCCACTGCGCAGCTGCAGGGGCAGGGAGGGGAGAGCTGGGTGAGGAGCCAGCCGCGCCCCCCAGCTCTCAGGGGTACTGCCCCGACTCTGGAAGTCTTGTTGAATTCACACCCTCAGCTCACACAGCCACCTAGCTCAACCTGTCTCCGGTGCTAACAGCCTGGGGCCCTTCCCCCTGATGTCCATCACACCAGGGCAGCCATGGACTCTCAGCGAAGGCAGATGGTGCTGACCAGGGGGCTCACTTTCTTGCGGATGGGTCCTCTCACCTTGGATGAGAGTCCCTGAAAGTCCCCGAGGGTCAGTGTCCCCTCTGCACTTCGGCCCGCCAGGCCCTAAGCCCACCACCGACATAGTGATCATGACCTCCTCTCAACTCCTTCTGCGCGGAATGGGGGCCTTCCCACCTGCACCCTGAAAGGCTACCAGCCTCGTGGGCCACTCTGGGAAGCTGGAACTCAGGAAATGGCTTTGTAAGGTGTCACTGCCTCCCAGAGGGCACCTGCCTCTCCTCTGAAGACTTCACTGGAATGGACGGACACGCATCAGGGCGACCCCACGCACCTTCATGATGATGTAGAAGGCGAAGTACAGAAGCAGGTTGCAGATGCCGATGGCCAGCAGGTAGGAGGCGAAGTCGTTGGGGCGCACGATGAGCCCGTAGGCAGCGCTGGCAAAGGCAGGGAGGGCTGGTGAGGCAGCGGAGTAGAGGCAGGGCGGGAAGGGCTCCCTCACCACGCTGGATTGTAATGTGGGGCCGGGGCTGCTCGCACACGCCAGCCAGGAGCCCCCCACCTTTCTCTTTAGCCCCCAAACTCAGCAGTTGTCCCTGGCTCCCCAGAAGCCACAGGCTGGCTACGCCCCAAGTCGTCTGTCCTGCCAGACTCACAGCGACCAGTTGATGATGTTGCCCACGACCAGCAGCACCATGCGGTCCTGTGGGGGAAGCAGAGACAGAGATGCCGCGGGGCTGAGCGGGGGTGGGCAGCACGGAGCAGCTGGTCTCCAGCCCTCCCCAGAGCTGGCTGTGCGATAAGGGTGGGACTGGGGCGCAGGGCAGGTACCACGTAGAGGGGCCCGGTGCACTGCCGGATGCAGTCAGTGTAGAGCACGTGAAGGATGCGCCGGAAGATGCCCGAGTCTGCGGGGAGAACACGCAGCGCTGAAAGGCCCAGCCGCCCCTCCTGTGGGACCCTTGCCTCACAGGGCCATTCCTTAGCCAGTGACTCCTGGAGGGACAGCCAGTCCCACGAGGCCACCCACCAAACCCTCACCACCTGGGCGCCTGCCCCCACTGCCCCGGCTCCCCGAGCTGAGCAGAGCCTCACCCAGCTTCCAACGGCCCATGTAATAGAGCTGCGTGCTGAGCAGCAGGGTGGCAGTGATGTGGATGACGGAGAAGACGATCCAGAACACCGTGTTCCCTTTGCCAAAGACCTGTAGGTGGAGGACCCCAGGCATCAGACCGCCGGTGTGTGTGATGGTGGGAGGGGGGCCCTGGGACCTGGCCCTTCACTCAGAAGAGCCAAGGTGGCTGCCGGGCCTGGCTGGGCAGCCCGGGGTTGTTAGGAAGTGGGAGCGGCTGCAGAGGGGCGAGATGCTCACCACGCCCAGCACAGAGAAGAAGATGACGATGGCCAGACAGGCGTAGGCGCTGTAGGCGCTGGCGTTGATGTCCGGGTGCCGCTTCTGGTACAGCTTGAGCATGCAGAGCCCGGCAATCATGTACATGAACGACGTGTCTGCAGGTGGAGCGCCACGTGAGCCCACCGACACCCAGCATCTCCCCCTGGTGACGGGGCCAGCAAGCGGTGGGTGGGTGGGCACTCGGGCGTCCCAGGTTGGACTCATCAGATCAGTGTTCTCAGCGCATGTGCACACCCTGGCAGCCAGGGACGCTCGGCGCACGGATGCTGGAGCCGCTGAGGGCTTCTTCTCTGCGTGCCAGCCCTGCCACCCGTCCCTGGCTGGACTGAGCCTCGGGGCCCCTGCCTGCGGGGCACGGGGAGTGGTGGCCTCACTCACCAAACTGGAAGTTGGTGTAGTTGGGGCAGACATGATAGCAGGCGCTGAGCAGACCCTCCATCATCAGAGCGGTGCCCATGGCGTAGAAGAGGCCAAAGTGCTTCGGGATCCCGCATTCCTGGGGTGCAGAAGAACGGCAGGGGGTGGTGGGCTGGGGAGGGGCCCTCACGTGCGGAGTGGCAGAGGGTAAGGGGAGGCCTGTGGAGGCCAGCTGCGGACGGGCGGGGCTGCTCACCAGGGCGTAGAGGTCGTTGCGCAGCAGGGCCCGGTTGTGGTTGATCTCTCGCTGCAGGATGATGAGCAGGAAGAGCAGGCCCAGCAGGATGTAGCCCAGGTTGCTGACGATGTTGTTGAAGGCGCTGCAGAGCACACCACGCAGGGCACGCTGCTGGCTGGGCCTCTGTCCCAGACTACTGAGTCCAAGTCCCAAGGGGTCCCCACCCCCACCCCCCACCCCCCACCGAAGCGGCCTCTTCCTGGGGAAAGTGGCCTGCCAGCATTGGCCCCACCTGAGGTTGCCCAGCGGGTGAGCGCACAGGAAGTTGTAGTAGCAGATGTCCTGATTCCCTGTGACATTCACCACCTGCAGGGGGAGGGTGTTAGAGCACACAGCCTGAGGGACGTGGGAGCCAGGCCCTGGTCGCTCTGGCCAGGAAGCCAAGGACAGGAAGTGCCAACGGGGCCAGCAGGTTTCTGCAGGCCTGTGGCTGGGCGTGGCTGACAGCTGGGAGCCCAGGGGTTCCTGCCCACAGGACGGAGAAAAGGGAAGGGAAATCCTTGCCACGTCTCAGGCTTGTTTCAGAAACCCCACAACCCCCGCTGGTGCCACCCTGCTACCCATGCTTGGGGCAGTCTTTTGCTTTGCCCAGTTCACCCAGCCCAGGAGGCAGAGGTGGGATTTCCATCGAGACGGGTCCTTGCTCTCTGCAGAGCCCAAGCTGGGCAGAGGGTCTGCGCCCGCCCTCACCGTTTGGTAGGTGATCACCAGCTGCACCACGGGGAGGGCGTAGAAGACAGCGATGGTGGCAATGTTCCTGGGGGGAAAGGGGCAACGGTGAGGCGGGCAGGACCCAGGAAGTCACTGCCAGCCACGGGCACCCCGGGCCGCTGGGCTCACTCACCAGAAATAGATCTGGTACTTTTTCCGCAGGACACGCTTGTCCTTCCGGGCCAGGTCCGCCACGTAGAGGTATTGCTGAGGGGAGGCTGCAGTGAGCCCCGCTGCTGACCCACCGTTCGGAGGGGCAGGTATAGAGACCACCCCCCTGCTGCCGCTGCTGAGGCCCAGGGGCTGAGCCAATGTGCTCTAGGACCCCCTGCCCCAGGGAGCCCCTCCCCCGCTGGGGAGCGCACCTGACCTTGGTGCGGATGACGTTCTTGTCGGAGTCGATGTCGGCCAGCGTATCATAGTCGTCCTCCTCCACGGAGCTCATCGAGTCCAGCCGCGGCCGCGTGCCCACCGGGTCTGAGGAGGCAGTACAGGGAGCAGGCTTGTACTGGCAGGCGAGGGCACCCCAGGTGCGGCCCTGCCTCCTGAGGCAATTGTCAAAATTGAGAGGCGGTGGAGGCAAGGCAGACGGTGGGCCAGGGCTCAGAGCAGGGATGGCTGTGGGCTCAGCCTAAGTCCATGGGGGGCGGGAGCAAGGGAGGCCACCCTGGCTTTGCTCCCGGCCTCCGTCTGCTCGCTCACTGACCCAGAGCTTCTTAGGCCAGGACTCCAAGTAGACCCTCAGGCCCAGCAACAGGGTGGGACTGGGCAGCGGCCGTGCTGATTAGAAGGTTCCCTGTTCTGTGGGTTCTGAGAAGACAGCGCCTTGGCCCCCACAGGGTCAGGACCCCCAAGGCCTTGGAGGGCAGGCAAAGATGAAAGGCTGCCTCCTTTAACCCATTTGCCTCTTAAGAGTCACGTTTGCCTCTTAAGAGTCACCTTGCCGGATCAAAGGCCCCCAGGAGGCCAGGAAGTGGGTGCCCAGGTGGTGGCTGGAAGCCAGGTGGGACACTAGCCCCCCAGTCCCAGGGCTTAGAGCCTGCCCGCCCCAGAAGACACAGAACTGGCAATCACTGGCAGCAGGGGAGAAGCCATGCACAGAGCAGCATCTTTCTGGGCCCCAGAGCGGGCGCTCCAATGGGTGGACTGCCCTGGCAGCAGCTGATTGGCCAAGCAGCACCCCCGCTCCCCCACAACTACCCATGGCAATGCACAGCTGCCGCATCTGGCCAGAGGGGAGACGCCGCTTGAACTGGTCGAGCCCTTCAAAGGAAAGGGAAAGTTACCGGGGAGCTGGGGTCGCAGGAGCAAAGGGCACAGGGAGGAGAGGGGCCAGGAGACCAGCAGGTCCTCCCCTGGGTCCAGCATCTGACAGATGAGGCCACCACCCACCAACACCTGTCACCCAGCCAATGCCAGCCCTGCACCGCACAGCCACCGGCCTGGCGGGGCCTCTCACCTTGGTAACTGTAGGACAGGTCCCCGGTGCCCACGCTGTCCAGAAAACCATCTGTGGATCCGGGGCAGTTCTCTGCGGACCGGGGTAGCAGCCAAGTGGTGAGCAGGGGAGGGGAGGCGGGGCCCAGACTGAGGGGCTCTGAGCTCTGAGCGGGGCTGCCCAAGGGAACCAGGCCTCATGGGAGTGGGCAAGCCCAGCTGAGCCGCTGGCTTTGCCACCTACCGAAGGAGCCGTAGCTGTAAGCCTCATACGGGGAGCTGCCAGGGAAGGCATCGGCCAGGACCCGAGGGTGGCCTGCAATGAGAAGCCAAGGTCCCTTAGCCCTAGAAGCAGAGAGGAGACAGGAAGAAGCCAGAGGAGACGGGCCTCGAGGGGCCAGGCTGGCCACATCCCATAAGCACCTCTGCAGGCAAACAGGCCTGGTTCCCCACCACCACCACCTGCCCAAGCTTGCCCGTGCTTCCCCAGGGAAACACTCGCCGCCAGACGACCTCCCTCAAAAGACAGTGCAGCCAAGGAGTGGATGTGGCTGTGTGAGCAGCCAGAATGGACACATGGACACACAGCACCCGGCCTGCCTGGTGGACCCACCAAGGCACCCGGCACCTCACTGCCCTCCCACATCTGGACTGTGCCTCTTGCCGGCAGCCCCTGGAGCTTACCAAGGAGAGAAGCTGAGAGAAGGTCCCAAGCAGGAGGAGGGCAAGAGGGGAGAGAGGAGGAGCACAGATCAATTACTCCAGAGGCGGTGAGCTACACCACCTCCGGCAGACAGAGCGTGAGCGAGCAAGCAAGCAGAAGCCAAGGGGTGGCCAGAAGGGGCCGGACACAATGCCCCAGCCCCATCTCCACCTTGCTCCCAGGTGAATTCTCCCAAGGTGCCCAGGCCTTTCTCCCAGAGGCCCTGGGGCAAACATCCACCAGGATCACCTCCCTGCCCCATCCCCTAGGAGGTACCACTTTCTGGGCAGGCTCGGTCCATGGCCACCAGCAGGGTCTTCTTCTTCTGCCTGCAGGGACAGGATCCGAGGGCTACTCAGGTGGGGCAGGACAAGGGTCCCTCCAACACTGGGCTAGTCTTCCTTCTACCCATCCCACCCCACCTAACCCTGGCTCTCCATCCAGGATCCCCGTCTGGGGAGGACGCAGATGCCAGAGGAGGTGGGGTGTGAACCACACACCTTGCCCGCCATTCCACCCAGGCAAGGGCAATGAAGGTGGGCCAGGCTGAGCCCTGACCCGGCAGCCATCTCCAACCCCCCACCCCCCTCGCCCCATGTGCCCAGAACTCCTCCACTTTACCTCCAATTTTCCCAACAGGCCAGGAGGATGGTCAGCAGGTAGAAGGAGAGAAATATGCCCAGGCAGAAGAGCATGCCACCAACGTAGGCCTCAGCTGTGGGGATGGAAGCAGGGAGAAGGCGATCAGCACTGTCCATGGCTGACCCAAGTCCACAAAGCCCCTACTGACTTGGATTTCCTCCCCAGTCCCTTCTCGCACCACCTCTCCCCTCAGATGCAATGACCCAGCGCATCTCAACCGCCTGAAAGTCCCCAAATGCACCAGCCTTTAACAGGACCCTGTCTTTGCTCATGTTATGTCCTCCGCTAGAATGCCCTCTCTCGCCTTGAAAATTCTGTCTTATAATGGAGTCTAGTGAGACCTCTGCTGTCCCAACCATTCTCTCACCGCATGGCTCTGTAACGCTTAGCTCACGGCCCACGTTGTACAACCATCACCGCTACCCAGCCAGATCTCAGAACCTCCTCTTCCATGTGTCTCTCAGGGCTCAGAACACAGCTCAGGGACAGGGTCCCTTGGGAAGGCATTCCCACCCTTCATAGTCCCCATGGTGCCCTGCTCTGGGCTCATCCTGGCGGCCAGCACTTGGGGTGGCAACAGCCTGGCCCTGGGGCCCTCACCCAGCACCTGACACACAGAGGTGCTCAATAAATATTTGCTAAATACCCTATGTAGAAGAGACTTCTTTTCCCACCCAGCCCAACCCCTAAAAGTGATTTTAGTTTACGGGAGGGTGCGGCGGTTTCCAATCTTTTGGTCAATATTTAATGGGACACTGGCTTGAGCCTGGTCCTTACTCATTAATTTTGTGCCAAACCTCACAACTCGGCGAGCCTAGGGGTCTGGTCTGATGAGTCTGTGGCACCGAACAGAGGCAGCCGGCGAGGCTGCAGTAGCGCTCGCTGGGCAGCAGGGGGAGAAGCCTAACTGGGAACTTTCTATCTCCAGTCCCGGAGCCTTCCTGCCACGGGGCGGTGAAGCACCTCCTGGCCCTCCCCGTCTGGTCTCACAGCCTGACCAGAATGCAGCCTCTTGCAACTGCCTCGGCCTGCTGGAGTAGGCCTGGTCGTCGTCCCCATGCAGAGAACATCCCACACCCAAGGCTGGAGGAAGAGCCCAGGCCAGCTCCCCTGCACTCCACCACCCACACTCACACGTGACTGCTCGAGACACCAGCACAGACAGGGTTTTCTGGCGGTGCCCTTGATCAACCGGTTCATCTGGAAGTGAATGCCACATGGTAATGAAAGGGCTGCCAGAGCACACAGCTGGTGGGGCCAGGCCTCCAGGAGTCCAAGGCCCACCAGCCAGCCCCCCGGGTTCCTCCAGCTGCCCATCCCCAGCCAGGCCCGGGACACACCACGTACCTTCCACAAAGGGGTAGTAAGGCAAGGAGCCCCCGCAGGCCTGGTCTTCGGTCTTCACCACCACCACCACATAAAAGCTGTTGCTGGGGAAGTCCTTGCGCTGAGGGGAGACGATGACAGCCATCAGCAGGGCGGGTCTGCGTTGTCGCCGTCGCTAGCCCTGGTCCGCAAACCCTTTGTGCAGGCTGGGCAACGCGCTCCTCTCTGTATGTGTTCTGATGCAGCTCAAATCCATGAGGGCCTCTTCCCCACGTGCCCTCTCATCTCCATGATCCAGGTTCAGAGATGTTTGCTTCGGGGCACAGGGCCAGTTCGTGGCGCAGCCAGGATCCAAGCTGGTCCGCCCGCCTGGCACCAGAGCCCAAACCTTGACCCTAGAGACTAGGGCCATATGAGCAAATGTGCCTCACCCAGAGGCTGTGGCACTCACGTGCTGTCCAGTGACAGGCTGGCAGGCAGGGGCAGAGGGCCCACTAAGCAGCCACAGCCAAATCTCTGGATAGCAGAAGGTGGGCACATGGCTCAGCCCTCCTCCCCTGCCCCCGGCACAGGTAGCCCTGAGAAACCCATCCCCTCCTAATTCCCACTGTGAATATGAAGTACATATGGCAGCCAGAAAGAGTACCCCTCTCCAGGGATTTCAGGAGACTCCCAAGTCTCCCTCTTGTGGGGAAGGGAGGGCAAGGGCAGAGGAGAAGGAACGAGAGGTGTCAGGAGAGCTGATCACCTGGCTATGCCTCTCCCGTGTGCGGTTTCCTACCTGCACGGTGATGGCTGCTTTCTTAGTCATCGTCTGGTACATGCCGATGAAGGCCACATTGTTGTCCAGGTCATAGACAGGGCACTACAGCCGGAGGATGGAAAGGGGAGGCGGACAGGGGCTGACTTAGGGCCCTAACGCTCATAGGTGGGGACGTGAGCAAAAGGGTCAGGCTACGGCTTTCAAAAGATATAACGTCTGGGGTCTTAAAAGCTTGAAGATAAACAAGCAGTCATCTAGCTGAGAAGCAACAAAGCCCACATGGAAGCACACCAGCCTGTGTGATCATGAGGTGTTGATGGGATCAAGGTATCAGGCATCAAAGACCCAGAACAAAAAATCATATCAATGTGAACGAGGGGAAGCGCGGAGTAGAGACCTAAAGCCCATATGTAGACATTACAGAAGGGTCACAAGGAAGAGACTAGCCAGTCAGGGTGCAGTATAGCACCAATGAAACATACAACTTTCCTCTAGTTCTTTAATGCTTCCTCTCCAACACTATCATGACCCCAATTTTACCTTACAAATCCAGCTAGACCAGAGCATGTACACTGGTACAGATAAGAGCTTGCAGCACAGATAAACCCCTCAGGACCAATAATGAGAGTAGCAATACCAGGAGGGTGGAGGGAAGGTGGGGGGAGAAAGGGGGAACCGATCACAGTGACCTACATATAACCCCTTCCCAGGAGGACGGACAACAGAAAAGTGGGAGAAGGGAGACAGTGGTCAGTGTAAGGCATGGAAAAAAAAATTGCAAATTATCAAGAGTTCGTGAGAGAGGGAGGAGGAGGGGGGAAACGAGGCACTGATATCAACAGTTCAAGTAGAAAGCAATTTTGAGAATGATGATGGCAACACATGTACAAATGTGCTTGACACAATAGATGTATGTATGGATTGTGATAAGAGTTGTACGATCCCCCAATAAAAAGATTTTAAAAAAAGGAATGGTCGGTCCACTTACCAGGACATCCTGGATAGAGATGACCGAGCAGGGGAAAGCCTTATTGGAGGTCACCTTGACAATCACGGAGTCCACACCTTCCGGGAACTCGTATTTGAAATACTAGATGGAAAAGCGCGGGCGGGAACAGAGGATGGATGCCTGAGCATGACGTGAGGGTGCTCTGTCCCGGTAGGTGAGGACCCAGAATGCTCTCAGGGTGGGACAGGGGTGTTCTCTGGGGACATGGGCCTTCATGAGAAACAGTGCTGACTGCATGCTTCCCTCAACCTCAGCCGGGCACTCAGAACACACAGCCTGGGAGGTAAACCCATGTCTCTCACTGCCCCATGATGCCTGTCCCTTAACAGCTTCAGGTCAGAATTCCTATTTCCAGAGTGCCCCCATGGAAACTTCGGTCAACTTGAAAGTCCCAGCAAGACCACTGACGTGCCCACTCTCAGCCCCAGCTTTGCCCTTCCCTTCTCGAGGGTAGCAGACAGGGACATTTTACCTGAGGCTGAGCTGCTGTGGTATTGAAGCTGAAATGCTCCCCGGTCCTGCAGGGCAGAGAAGAGACCACCCACCCCACAGTCACTCTGGAGCTTGGGACAGAGGCACGTGGTCCCCGTGCTGCCCCCTGCTGACCTGAGCACGAAGTCATCCATTCGGCTGACTCGGAGCTGGTACGTGGTGTTAACTGGGGACAGGGTGGACACGTCCACGTAGAAGAACTGCACCTCGGACTCATTCTTTGTGGGGGGTTGACACAAAGTTCGTTCCACCTTTTGGTAGAGGTACTTGCGCTGATACCTAAGGCGGGAAGCAGAGAGTTAGGACGAGACTACGGCCCCAGCCTGGTGGCCACTGCAGGGAGAGCAAGACCTCACGTCCTCCAATCTGGTCTCCACCATGCTGCTGGCCCTACACCCCCACCCCACCAGAGTGACGAAATGAAGGCTGGCTGACTTGGCCCTCATGCCCTGATGAGCCTCTTGCTTCAGAGAACGAGGAAGAGAAACTGCAGAGTTCTTGGGTGTTCTGGGCCTGGGCCACCCCCACTTCCGGGTCCCCGGGTCCTACTCACAGCCCTCGTAGGATGAGGGGCACCTGGAAGGACACCACAGCTTCCTTCTGGCGGACCACGAACAGCAGAGGGGCGGTCTTCTGCTTGTTGAGGACATTCACAGACACACGCACGCCCTCCGTCTGCAGGGGATGCGGAAAGGACCCTCCGTCAAGCGGCAGCGTCTCTGTGTCTGCATCCAGACGTGCAGACCTAGAGCCGTAACCCACTCCCACCCCCACCCCTGGCTTCGTGTTCTTGCCCCCTCTGTGCCGGAGCTGTGCAAGGCCACCACCACTGGATCCGTGGGTGTCTCTGGAAGGCCTCATGCCTGGCCATCGAGAAATAGTTGTCATTTTCAACAATTACTGTGGGGCGCAGACTTTGGCAACGGTGGGAGTCAGGTTGTATCCCCAGCTCTGGTCGGTAGAGGGGACTGGAGAGCAGGCACTTCACATCCCTGAGCCTCAGTCTCCCTCTCTATAAAGCAGACACAGTCTCACCACTGGCGCTATGGAGATACTTTAAAAAACTCACTGCCATCGAGTTGATACCAACTCAGAGCGACCCTATAGGAAACCCCTGTGGGTTTCCGAGCTGTTACTCTTCACAGGAGCAGAGAGCCTTGTCTTTCTCCCGAGGAGCAGTTGGTGGTTTTGAACTGCTGACCTATTAGCTAAGCAGGCCAACATGTAACCACTACACCACCAGGGCTCCCTATGTAGTTACTAAGTGTATAGGGCAGAATGAGCGAAAGGGGGGAAAAGAAACCCTGGGAATGCTTGTTGATAGGCTGCTCAAACCCGAGCCCCAGGGGCCACAGCCACCAGGCCCTTCAGATCAAGGGAAAAGAGGAAGAAAGGACGTGGCTGAAAAGTAGCAAGGAGGAGACCAAACTTCAAAGAATGAGGCGCTGGCCGCACACCCAGGACTGCCACAGAAATCAAATGTCATCGCGGTAAAGGGAAACCGATGCTCACTCTCCACTCCACTGCTCTCCAGTAAAACCAGGCAGTGGGGAGTGAGCGAGGCAAACGGAGAGAAATGTATGCTCCCTGGTTGCAAGAATCCCCCAAACAGCTCTGCTCAGGTCGAGGCTGCCCACCTGGCTCGGCCCTGTTCAATTCAGAGCTGGTGGGCGAACGGAAAGAAAAGCCACCGTGAGAGGAACCTCCACAGTGAAAACCAAACAAACGTCCTTCCTCTCCCTCAACTTGCAGTTCGCCATCTCTCCGCCATCCTCTCTTACAACCCAGGGGGCTGGCGGAGGCAGGAAGCAGGCTGGGAAGGTCCTGGTACTTACTGAGCCTGGGAAGTTCTCCCTCCATCTCCCTGGGGAGCCCGAGCTGTAACTTGTCAACCTTTCTATCCTGGGCCAGTCTCCTTCCTCACCACCCCACTGGGGTTTTGGGGGCCAGGCCCAGTCACCTGGCAAACTTCCCCTGCACTCGGTTAGATTCTGGGAGACAGGGTGGTGGGGGGCAGGCTCAGACCCCAGCAGGTGCAGGGGGTGGAGGCACAGGGTTCAAGAGATCTGAGAGGAGACAACTTCAGAGACAGTCCGAGCTTCTGGGAAGGAGGGGCCGCAAATGAAGGCTAAGGAATGGTCAGAGGCTCCAGTGCGCTTCTG